AACTGGAGGACACAGAAAAAAGAAAAATAACCTCTAAGTTCCAAACTCCATTAATATTCCAAACTCCTGTCTGTACAACAGAGAGGAATCTCCGCCGGCTCCGTCCTCTAAATAATTTACACTTTAAAATCTTTTCTTTCTCCTGAAGTCGACTGTTCTGAGACGCTCAACGTGAGGAGGAGGCAGAAACCACGACGAGAGCAAACGGAACTAAAACATAAGGATAAAAACATGAAACTGTTTTATATTTTTAAGTGTGTTGTAAAGTGTAGATTCATTTAGAGGACAAATGTTCAGAACATAGGAAGAATTAATTACAAGTTTAGCTTTTTGCTTTTTGTGTTGCGCAATTATTTCAAATTCAAACAGAAGGAACTCAACCATTTAATAAAGTATCTGTTAATATTTGTATGTGAAATATTAGCAAGAAGGTGATTTTTAGAGGAATATTGCTATTTTCTCTTCTGTCATTTCTGGCAGCAATTAGAAATTATAAAATTAGGCCTTTGATTTCATTTGGACCATTTTACCATTTCAAATCATCGAAGACATTTAAGTTAAAACTTGGTGCTTTGATTTTAAAGAAGCAGCCAAACTAAGAAAGAATTTATAAATGCCAGCTGTTCGATTTATCTTCTGTCCTTCTGTTCAAAGACTGAAATGACTTTTTAAAAGATTTGGAAAATAACTCCAGCAGAGGCAGGAAGACAAAGGTTTGATGTTTCTGTTCCCTGATCAGCCTGAAGGTTCCTTCAGTTTCTTTGTCTGACATTTGTAATTAACTCACCTGCTCCCACCAATTATACTTTCCTGTCTGATCTTCACATTTTACTGGTAGTTTTGTTTTTGGTTCCATGTCACCTCTGGTTTGGTTTCTACTTCATGAATGTCATTTTTTTTAAGTAATTGTTTTTTAATTTTTTATTTAAACTTGCCTCTGCATCCGCAACGCTGATGGTGGATCTGAAATTTGTGGTTTTAGAAGGGTCGACATTTTTCAGCAGGTTATAAATAAAACTATGGATCTGATGTTTCCCGGATATTTCTCCTGGTGACGCATTTTTCTGTCCTCAGCATCAGAAATAACGCGCTGCATCACACACGCGCGCACACATACACCAACCAACCAGTTATTAGTGAACCTGTTGGCATCACCCGGATCAGCTGCTGCTTCTTTAAATCCGTGCTGGACTAAGAGGAACCAACAAATTTGGACTTTAAAAAATGTTTTTAAATATATATATATATATTATTTTTTTTATGCATCTATTCTGGAGCAGTTTTGAACCTTTAATGATGGAAAAACGTGAGGGTGTGAGAGGAAAGGTTCCGACGCGTCTCCGTCTCCATCTTTGGAGCTAAAAACGGATTCTGTGATTTTTTTTTTTTTTTTTTTTAATCCACTCCACAGAAACTTCTGGTACAGCTTCAGCTCACACGTGCATGAAGGAGCATCCTTCAGAGGCAGCTTATTACATGTTCGGTTCCACCTCCTTCCAACTGAAACCCGAACCTCCTGCTGCGCGCACCGGCGCGTCCAGAAGAGCCGCGGGTGGAGCCATGACACGACCCGAGAATTAACGTGGCGGTAAGATGATCAGTGTAAATGTCTGTGGTTCTGATTCTGTACACAGGAGGGGGATGAGTGTAAGTGAAGCAACGTGCACCATGGCGTGATTTTAATGCGTAAAAGTGCCCAACGTGCGTAAAAAGGTCGATCACTTTGAATTCCAGGCAAACGTATTGAAGGATAAAATAATTTAATCCCGTTTTTGTTGGTTTGTAGATGGTTTTGCCACTTTAGTGCACGTAAATCAGGAGTTAATTTGTCTTTTTATACCTGGAAGTCTTTTAAAAATATCAGTGAATCCTGCTGCTGTGAAACTACAGTCTGACAGGAAAAAAACAACTAAACACTGTAAAACAACAGTTACGTCCACAATCAGTGTCTGTGCAAATCAAATCAATCATTTGATGCTTAAAGAATAAATACTGATTTGTCCAAACAGGTCAGCAGTTTATAACCTGCTGTAATTGAAATGTAAAACTTTGTGCTTCTTCATTTGGATTTTAGATTATTTTAGATCAGTTTAAAGCTGGATGCAGGCTGGCATGCTGCAGATCTGGGTGTGAACACACAAAGTCATGAATTTAGTGCAGAGCGTGGAACTGGAGATTTTTGAGTGACTTTAACTTCAAACGCATGTTCTCTTAGAATCAGGAGGCTCGAGTGAATCATCTCTTTTCCTGAAAGGATGTTGAGCGGATGCAGAGTTCAGGCGGAGAACTGCAACGAAATTTGCTGCAGACACAATTTCTTTCACTCCCGAAGAAACACCAAAGTTCATGCTCAATAATCCCGGTATAAAATCCAACAATGTTCCATCAGGTCATCCGGACAGTTTCTTTTTTTTGATGAGATGTTTCGTCCTTCATCCAAAGGACTTCTTCAATCTGAGGAGCCACCAAACAAACCCATTCCCACAAAGAGCATAATCCCATAGTGGATAAAACCAGTTTGCTTGTGCTAAGATGACCTCGGGGACCCACCTTCTCCTCCATCAACTCCTCTGAGACAGTCATGGTTCAAAACACCAAAGTTCATGTTCAATAATCCAGGTATTAGCACAGTTAACAGACCTCAACAAGCAGCGTGAAGCTTCTTGGAGTCGTAGATGTTGATTTTGCAGATGTTGGTTTCAGAAACGACAGGTTTCACCTTTTGGTTGAATGTTTTCTTTTGTCACCACTGAAGTTAGACTCGAGAAGAAGTCAGACCCCTTCAGGAGTGCGTGTGACCATGACCTTCACAGCTGTCTGAGTAAACACTCCCCTGAAGGAGCTCAATGGAAAAAAAAATGAAGTCAGACATTAAAAACAGTTTGAAAGAGTTTACTCCAAGAGTTTTCCTCTTCTGATGAGCCGGTACGCACTCGACGTAAACAAAGCACTTAGAAGCACGGGTCACGTGACCATCAGGATGGTTTTAGTCTGTGTAGATAAACAAATGTGGCTGAATCAGACAAGCTCAGGACATCAGAAGTTGTTTAGGTGGCTCGATCCCAGTCAGCTCTTCTGTGGACGTTTCCACTGTTGACCTCAGTCGTTACGGCTGTTTCTGCAGGTAAACAAACACTTGAACACTTGGTGGCATTTGGCCACAAAGATATTTTTTTTAAGTTGAAGACATAATTACCATTAATATAAGAAAAATATGGTGTGGGTTTGATTTCTTTATAATTTTCTTTTGTCCAGTCTGCACGGCTTTGTGAAATAAACCAGCAGCCGGGCTTGTTGTTTCCATGTCATTCTTGTTATGGATCAGTTTGTTCTCAAAAGGCTTCAGAGCTCAGTAAAAAGAAGTGATTTCGTTTGGTTGTTCAAACCAGAAGCTTCAAAAAGAAAATCTGGGAGGATTTTATAGGAAAAATGTTTATATTTTATCAATGTGCAAACATTCATTAGGTTTTTAAAGGTTTACCATATTTTCCGCCACATACGTCGCACCACCCTATAAGTGGCATCAGTTCAAATATGTCTAAAGTGGAAAAAGCCATAAATACTTTGCTTTGCCATATAGGTCGCGTCTATTATGCATCACCGCTGACACGTCACGTTTCTTATGTGTCACCGTTGACGACCCGGAAATGTGGGCCGGTGTTGTGCCAAAAATTGATTGGCTGCCAAATGGCGGCCGCGGGAGCGTGCACGGGAGGACTTTAACAAGAATTTAACAAGATTAACACGTAAAAACAATTATTTGTTTGCTCGAAATTATACTTAAGGTGTGTCTCAGTTGAACTTTTACTGAATGAATGCACGTTAATGGTCAAATTAGCTGCCTTTCATCGGGGAGGCTCAGCGAAATTGTTCCAGGCAGATGAAGGTGGCAAGCCGATTGTGTCATCAATAGCCACTTTTTACCTATTACATGACACAACGGCCTGCCATACACCTCGAGTGCCATGTAGTGGCTGAAAATGGTAGTGTTCAATATTTTCAGTCAGAATGAATGAAAACGGTCAGATCTTAGCCAAAAACTGTTTTATAAATATGGGAAACAATCCATAAATAAATCGCTTTGGCGTATAAGTTGCAGGGCATGCAAATTATGCAAAAAATTCAACTTATATGGTGAAAATTATGGTAGTCGTTTTGTGCAAAGAATGAATCAGAAGCTTTATCTTTATCTAGCTGGACTCTCCCTCAGAGATTGGGTGAGAAGTTCAGTTCTTTGGGAGAGACTCGGAGCAGAACCGCTACTCCTCCTCGTCAAGAGGAGCCAGTTTAGGTGGTTCGGGTATCTGGTAAGGATGCCCCCTGGGCGCCTCCCAAGAGAGGTGCTTAGGGCATGTCCAACTGGGAGGAGACCCCGGGGAAGACCCAGGACATGCTGGAGAGACTATATGTTTCTTGGTTGGCCTGTGAATGCCTTGGAATCCTCCCAGAAGAGCTGGAAGAGGAGGCTGTGGAAAGAGATGTCTGGGCCTCCCTGCTCAAGCTGCTGCCCCCGCGACCCGACTTCAGAATAAGTGGAAGATGATGAATGGATGGATGGGTCTTAAGATATCGGTCCTCAGCTTTAGACTGTCAAAGAAAGTTTTCTTTGCTAGAAAAAAAAGCTGGCTCCCGTACTGTCAGTTTAATTTGCCATAAATAATCTGGATTAACCTTAATCTGTTTTGTTTTTTTTGATGGCATGAACATTTTAAAATGGTAAAAATTGTAAATCCTCGCTCTTTCTTTTACTTAATTTCCTCTTTTGTCTTCTTTCCTTCTTTCAGTTCTCTGTTGTCATTTCTTATTATTTTGTTCATCAGGTTTGTTTAATCTTGGTCGCTCTTTTCTCCTTTCATCATCTCTGACCTTCCTCCCATCTGTTCCCTTTCCTAAACCGATCTCTGCTTCTGTCTCCTGTCTAAACCCCCCCCACCCCCCACCCCCCATCCTCTCCCTCCTTTCTTCCTCCGGCTGCAGGTGGTTGATGGGGAGCATTTCGAATGTCAGCCGGGACCGTGGTCATCGCAGGAGGAATTCTGGCTACAGTCATCTTACTGACCATCGTTGGCGTGCTGTGTTTATGTAGGTTGCAGGTACGATTGTTTCACTCTTCACTTCTCACATAAAGAGTTAAAAATCATGACAGACACACGTTTTGTAGCTGTGAGCAGCACCTTGGCACTTTAAAAAAAAACTAAGAACGCCACGAAAAGCTATAAAATGTAAATGAATAAGAAATATACGCAGCCACCTTTTTATGGCTGAGCTTTGAGCAAAGTTTCGAGACGTGTTCAGCGTGAATCTTAGATATTAACACGCCAATGTTTTGTTCAATATGTGGAAAAATGGCTTAATTTGACAGTGAATTTTTATTTTCATCTGCCACAAATATCTAAGTGTATTTTGATGTGGCACCACCGAGCATCGTCTCAACATGATGAGTTTGGAAACTTGTTTTGTTAAAAAAAAATCTTTATCAAAATTGTGTAAATTTAAAGGAGAATAGTCTGGTTGTGTTTTTTTCCATGTGGTAGTAGCTGAGCATCATCCCCAACACACTTAAGTACTACTCATAAGAAGGTTTGGCTTTAAACTTCAGCAGTAACTCTGTCTGTTAGTAAAATATCTCACATCTCATCTCTGTGCTGATTATCTTTGGCCTGCACATAAAAAGGCTCCGTTAGTTTTACAGATACTGAGTTAATCTGTGGTGTGGTAGTAGCTGACAGTCGTTCACAGCACGTACTCCGATCAGCAACAGATTCTGTGAGATGTCGTACAAGAGCGTGGATATTATTTTCAAGATTCACCCCAAACTGATTCAACTTTGTCATTCCTCAAAGTGAAATGTTCTCCGTCTGAAAGCTTTAAGGCAGCAGGCGAGTGCTACAGCTCTTTAATTCAGAATAAATAATTCCTTCATCCAGTGTAATCTGAGCACAGAGGAGATTAATGATATTAAGATTACTCTGCAGGAATAACAAGACAAACGGTGAGCTGGGAGACGAACAGAAATTCAGAATGAACCACAGAAAAATTAAACATTTTGCTTTAATAAACTTTAAAGTCAAGACATTATATGATTTTATGACAGTTCTCAAAAAAACAATCAGTTCTGGCACCAGCTGAGCATCGACCCTGAAGAAAAACATTTGCACCTCAGGTGAAAAAGAAAAGTGTACTACATGTATAGACTTGCAGTCAGACTTCTTATTAATGTGGTGAAATGAGTTTTTTATTTTGATCAACTTTATTTGTTCAAAGTTGCACAGAAAGTAGAAAAGCATGAAAGTCTGTTTGGTATGAATTACTCCAGCACTCACGGAAACAAAGTCGACTAGTCGATTCTAGGACATCTCAGGGGTGTTCCGACTAGTCACAGTGAGTGATTGTGTCATCAGGTGGAAGGTGAGGAGCAGGTCAAGTCTTTCCAAACAGGTGGAAATTCATGAACAGTGTGGAAGTATTTCACTAAGGATGGATCTTCTGGTTCAACCGCCCGTGGAGAATCCACCACCGCCATAGTGGTTTATTTCATTTAGTGGATTAAACTTTTGCAGCTTAATAATAGTTTTGGTTTTCCTGTGACTTATGATAAATGGTAGGATCATAAATATATGCTCCCGATGTTTTTTTTTTTTGGTAAATATTAAATTATGTTTTTTTTAGTCGAGTTCCTCTGACGTCACATCGACTTTTATCATTTTGAAGTCGACTTTAAAAGTAGTCGTTCAACCCCTGTGTCCTATATTTAATTAATTTTTATTTGTGATAGCATCACTTAAAACAAACATGGTGACTCTTTGCTCTTCTGTTTGCTGGCGGCAGTATTACTGCTGTAAGCAGGAGGAGTCTGAGAAGGGGGAAGAGGAGGAACCAGAACTGGACACCATGTCACCCTCTCGCCCCCTGGCTCTGTGCGCTCCTCCTACCCCTCCAACCCCAGAGCAGTACAGCGACGAGCCCGAGACTTACCCCCCCACCTTTCTGACGGAGGCCAACGGATCTGCCAGCTGCTCCCCGCCTCCTCCCCTTCCTCCTCCACGCAGGTGCCAGCGTGCGCACGCCTTCTGCCCGTCCTGCGCCCGCTGCTCGATGCCCTTCTACCTGCAGCACCCGGAGAGACTGTGCAACGGTGGGCGCAGGATCAGCTACAGGACTGTGCAGCAGCAGGACCTGGAGCTGCCCGACGACCTGGCCAGCTTCTACCACAAGCTGCTCCGGTCCTACACCATGAAGGAGATGATGACCCAGAGCTACAGCACCGACGTCTAGCTGCTACTGTCTGGAAGCACGCTGCGACGTGATGGAGACGCTGCATCTGCAGCATCAGGACCGCACCACGCTGCTGCACCGTCATGAAAGGCTGCAGCTGGCAGGAAATGTCTCTGCCAGATGTGAACTGAACCAACTGTGATCAACTTATCCAAACTTGTTTAGCTAGTTGAGTTAGTTAAAGTTTAAACAAATCAGTCTTCACTTTGAGCTCTAGTTACAAGATTTAACACGAGTTCTGTTTGTTAGCGAACGGGAAGCATTGAATATGTGACGGACTGGATTCTGTCCAGGTGATTTGATTCATCCAACCCTCATTGGTTTATTGTCTGTTCTTGAAGAGCTCCACGGTCTTTAGAAAACATCAGAGCACCAAGTTTTATTGGCACAGGCCACAGAGTTTATAGCTGCCACACAAAATCACTAGATGTCGAATGTTCAGCTGCTCCAAGTGTTTCTTCCTGTGAATATTTGATTATTTCTTATCTGCTTGTGGACGTTGTGTCACATAATTCTTAATGTGTTTGACAAGTTGCAGTAAATAATAAACACGACTGTAAATGCACCGCAGCTGTTTTCATACAGTCACGTTAGAAACATTAGGATATAAAACGTAATATCACACACAGAACCATATGAAGTTCTGTCAGTGAGCCCTGAGGTCAACTTGTGAAGAAACGGATCAATCTGTATGGATTATTTGTAATCTCTCGCTTTTTATTTTAGTTTTGTACAAATCCTGACGGTCAACTCGGTGCAGAAACAATTAAGTTAAATGTTTTAAATGAGGGAACAAAACACGAGTGCAGAGTAATTTTTAAGGATCTGTTAGTTTTAGGCCTTTTTAGTTTGTTTTAGAAAAGATTTGGAAGTGAGGCACATGTTTGTGTTTTCAGGATGTTTTAGTAGATTTGATGTTTCCATCAGCAGGTGAGCCTCTCAGCGTGAACGGTCTTTTAAACTGTTAACTAAAAAACTAAATCTGTGCCAAAAACATCAGAGAAGTTTAAACATTAAAGTCAAATTTGTTTAACTTTAAAAAAAAATAATAATTCTGTGAGAACACTGAGGTTTTTCAACTTTATGAAACCCCATTAAGGCTTTTATTTTGGTAAAATTAGACATTTGAATCCATGAGATACAACCAAAAAGTTGAGACATTGTGTAAAATATAAACTAAAACAGAATGCAATGATTTGCATATTTCATAAACCCAGACTGTGGAACACAGGAAACAAATCAAATGCTGAACTTTTATCTGATGGCACCAGCACGTCTCAAAGTTGTTCCAGATTCCCACAGAAAGCTTCTTCTCTTCTTTTGACCACAATCTGCAAACATTCAGGACCTGAGGAGACCAGCTGCTGGAGGTTTTGGAGGACCTGAGGAGACCTGCTGCTGGAGGTTTTGGAGGACCTGAGGAGACCAGCTGCTGGAAGTTTTGGAGGACCTGAGGAGACCAGCTGCTGGAGGTTTTAGAGGACCTGAGGAGACCAGCTGCTGGAGGTTTT